CATTTATTGTTGGGAAAAAGTCGCCTTATGTCGCCTTAAAAAAGCTGGTATCATATTCATCGGATGCTCGGCATGGACCCATCATTCTATTATATTATATCCCTATTACTGGTTGTAGTAACCATTATTGTTGGTTATATCAACCACTATGGTTGCGGGTGCCCCTATTTATCATCCATGATACCCCTATTATTAGCGGTTATATCCCATTATTGTTGGTAATTCACTATCAGAAACCATTGGTTTGGGGGTGCCCCTATTTATCATCCATGATATCCCTATTATTAATGGTTATATCCCATTATTGTTGGTTATTAGGCGTTGCTGTCACTTTCGCACTCACACTCCACACTTCACACTTCGCACTTCACAGTCCACACTTCACACTTCCACACTTCCCACTGCTTCCTTCACACTCCAAACCTCACACTTCACACTTCACACTTCACACTGCGCGCTTCGCACTCCAAACTTAAACTTCACACTCCACACTTCTACTGCTTCCTTCACACTTCACACTTCACACTGCACTCTTGACGCCCCACACTTCACACTGCTCTAAACCTAAGTGCAACAAAAAAAACACTAGTGCCAAAATGGAGAAAATCTGCTAACAAATCCATTTCGCAGCCTTCATGCAGCCACTCCAAGACGATTTACGAGATCCAGCTGCAAAAGACAATAGTATTACCAATGCAGCCACAGCACGAAGCAACCTTGACGCAGGCATTACAATGCGATCTGCAGAGACTGAGTTGCAAAACGCAATAGAACTACGCGCAACGGCGTCGGAAATTGTAGCTCCAAAACCGGATCTCGACGCCAGAGCGAAAAAAAGACGATTTTGAAGCACTTAAAAAAAGGATTTTTAGGAGGAAAATCACTGGCGCCAAAATGGAGAAAATCTGCTGACAAATCACTGTGGCAGCCTTCATGCAGCCACTCCAATACGATTTACGAAGTCCAGCTGCAAAAGACACTAGTATTACGAATGCAGCCACAGCACGAAGCAACCTTGACGCAGCCATTTACTCTGCGGGAACGATCCTACAGCTGCAAAGCACAATGGAAAGGTACATAACGATCCTACGAAGCAACCTTGACGCTGCAAAGCACGGCAGATCTGAGCGCGTGCTAGGGTTTGCAAAGAAAACATGAGGCAGAGACAAGTTTGGACTGTTCCAATGATCCTTAGAAGTCAAGACTTGCTTTTGGGCTTGTTTGCTTTTCGTGAAACTCTAACGCGCGCTCGGCGCGCGCTCGTGGCAGTTTGAGGTTTGTGGACGAGCGCGCCGAGCGCGCGTTGGAATTTGTGAAAAGCACAAGATCAACAGCAAGTCACATTCTAACCGTCCTTCAAAGGATCCCTGGAACATTTTCTGTATGCAAAAAATGTCAAAAGCAAGCTTAAGGGTTTTTTGGGTTTAGGGTTTGTGGTCGAGCGCGCCGAGCGCGCGTTGTTTGTTTTGGCCGAGCGCACTGCGCGCGTGCTAGGGTTTGAGAAAAAGCATGAGGCAGAGACAAGTTTATGCAATGATCCTTAGAAGTGAAGACTTGCTTTTGGGCTTGTTTGCTTTTCGTGAAACTCTAACGCGCGCTCGGCGCGCGCTCGTGGCAGTTTGAGGTTTGTGGACGAGCGCGCCGAGCGCGCGTTGGAATTTGTGAAAAGCACAAGATCAACAGCAAGTCACATTCTAACCTTCAAAGGATCTCCGGAACATTCTCCGTATGCAAAAAATGTGCAGAAGCAAGCTTAAGGGTTTTTGGGGTTTAGGGTTTGTGGTCGAGCGCGCCGAGCGCGCGTTAGGGTTTGTTTTGGCCGAGCGCGCTGAGCGCGTGCTAGGGTTTGCAAAGAAAACATGAGGCAGAGACAAGTTTGGACTGTTCCAATGATCCTTTGAAGTGAAGACTTGCTTTTGGGCTTGTTTGCTTTTCTGTGAAACTCTAACGCGCGCTCGGCGCGCGCTCGTGGCAGTTTGAGGTTTGTGGACGAGCGCGCCGAGCGCGCGTTGGAATTTGTGAAAAGCAAGATCAACAGCAAGTCACATTCTAACCTTCAATAGGATCTCCGGAACATTCTCCGTATGCAAAAAATGTGCAGAAGCAAGCTTAAGGGTTTTTGGGGTTTAGGGTTTGTGGTCGAGCGCGCCGAGCGCGCGTTAGGGTTTGTTTTGGCCGAGCGCGCTGAGCGCGTGCTAGGGTTTGCAAAGAAAACATGAGGCAGAGACAAGTTTGGACTGTTCCAATGATCCTTTGAAGTGAAGACTTGCTTTTGGGCTTGTTTGCTTTTCTGTGAAACTCTAACGCGCGCTCGGCGCGCGCTCGTGGCAGTTTGAGGTTTGTGGACGAGCGCGCCGAGCGCGCGTTGGAATTTGTGAAAAGCAAGATCAACAGCAAGTCACATTCTAACCTTCAAAGGATCTCCGGAACATTCTCCGTATGCAAAAAATGTGCAAAAGCAAGCTTAAGGGTTTTTGGTGTAGGGTTTGTGGTCCAGCGCCGAGCGCGCGTCAGGGTTTGTTTTGGCCGAGCGCGCTGAGTGCGTGCTAGATTTGTAAAAAAGCATGAGGCAGAGACAAGTTTGGACTTTTGCAATGATCCTTAGAAGTGAAGACTTGCTTTTGGGCTTGTTTGCTTTTCGTGAAACCTCGTGGGAGTTTGAGGTTTGTGGACGAGCGCGCCGAGCGCGCGTTGGAATTTGTGAAAAGCACAAGATCAACAGCAAGCAAGTCACATTCTGACTTTCAAGGTATCTCCGGAACATTCTGCTTATGGAAAAAATGTGCAGAAGCAAGCTTAAGGGTTTTTGGGGTTTAGGGTTTGTGGTCGAGCGCGCCGAGCGCGCGTTAGGGTTTGTTTTGGCCGAGCGCGCTGAGCGCGTGCTAGGGTTTGCAAAGAAAACATGAGGCAGAGACAAGTTTGGACTGTTCCAATGATCCTTTGAAGTGAAAACTTGCTTTTGGGCTTGTTTGCTTTTCTGTGAAACTCCAACGCGCGCTCGGCGCGCGCTCGTGGCAGTTTGAAGTTTGTGGACGAGCGCGCCGAGCGCGCGTTGGAATTTGTGAAAAGCACAAGATCAACAGCAAGTCACATTTCTAACCTTCATAGGATCTCCGGAACATTCTGCGTATGCAACAAATTTTCAAAAGCAAGCTTAAGGGTTTTTGGGGTTTAGGGTTTGTGGTCGAGCGCGCCGAGCGCGCGTTAGGGTTTGTTTTGGCCGAGCGCGCTGAGCGCGTGCTACAGTTTGTAGAAAAAGCATGAGCGAGCGACAAGTTTGGATTGTTGCAATGATCCTTAGTGAAGACTTCCTTATAAGCTTGTTTGCTTTTCGGGGAACTCTAACGCGCGCTCGGCGCGCGCTCGGCGGCGCGCGCTCGACGCGCGCTCGTGGCAGTTTGAGGTTTGTGGACGAGCGCGCCGAGCGCGCGTTGGAATTTGTGAAAAGCACAAGATCAACAGCAAGTCACATTCTAACCATCCTTCAAAGGATCCCTGGAACATTTTCTGTATGCGAAAAATGTGCAAAAGCAAGCTTAAGAGCTTAAGGCTTTTTTGGGTTTAGGGGTTGTGGTCGAGCGCGCCGAGCGCGCGTTAGGGTTTGTTTTGGCCGAGCGCACTGCGCGCGTGCTAGGGTTTGTAGAAAAAGTATGAGGCAGAGACAAGTTTAGACTGCTGCAATGATCCTTAGAAGTGAAGACTTGCTTTTGGGCTTGTTTGCTTTTCGTGAAACTCTAACGCGCGCTCGGCGCGCGCTCGTGGCAGTTTGAGGTTTGTGGACGAGCGCGCCGAGCGCGCGTTGGAATTTGTGAAAAGCAAGATCAACAGCAAGTCACATTCTAACCTTCAAAGGATCTCCGGAACATTCTCCGTATGCAAAAAATGTGCAAAAGCAAGCTTAAGGGTTTTTGGTGTAGGGTTTGTGGTCCAGCGCCGAGCGCGCGTCAGGGTTTGTTTTGGCCGAGCGCGCTGAGTGCGTGCTAGATTTGTAAAAAAGCATGAGGCAGAGACAAGTTTGGACTTTTGCAATGATCCTTAGAAGTGAAGACTTGCTTTTGGGCATGTTTAAAAACGATAGGGGACTCACAAAATAGCGATAACTTTTGCATGTATGCATAATGACGGATCCCATGTCTTATGTAGCATTTAGTCTCGTTTCCTGGTGTGCCTCGACAATGGAGTTCACAATATGAGACTTGTTTTGAGAGAATCTCCAGTCCTATCTTCGTTTTGTTGCACTGAATTTAGCGACAACCCTAGCGATAACCAAATGTTTCAAAAATGTGCTCCGGAGACTCAGAGACCCATTCAGACATCGGAGCCCTGTGTGGCGGCAGCCACTTCAAGCAGCAGTAAATGGAAGAATGACAGCCATGACAAAAGAAGGGTGTAAACAACAGATCACAAGAGGACCGGTAACCACGACAAGTCACAATGAGCAGCTGCAAACCCTGCCGACTCCGAAGAGAGCAGCAGCAGTTCCAGTAGCAGCAGCAGCGGCGGCAGCAGCAGCAGCGCCAGCAAAGAGACTTGAAAAAGGCATCGCTGAGCCAAGAAAATAGTCCACATCAGTAATTGCATAAGCCTGATTATAATTGCATACAATAAGAACTTATGTTGGATGGCGCGGATGCCAAAACACTGTAAAACGACAGGGGACTCACTAAATGACCCGTGATACTTCGCCGAACACTAAATTTCGACCGCGCCTCATATGCAGACACACTGCAGGTGGATGCATAAACCCAAGCATACCCAAGCGTACTCCAGGAGAGAAGGCCCGAAAGTGCTTGAAAACATGTGTGGTGTTTTTTCATATGTGTCCAGCCAAAGATGCCAGCATGTGATGAAATCCGGAGATAGCCAGCTTTGTGTTTTCCTGGCCTTGGTTGGTTTAGGAGATTTCAGCAGCGCTCCAGCTCAAGGCTTTCTGGTTGTGTGTTGCTTTGCATCCGCCGTGTGAGTATAGGCCCGTCATGATTCATTTGGGCACTGGGGCGATGACCGATCAAGTTTTCGAACGCTGGCTCCAGAAACCTGGCGTGCCTTGGATGAGTTGCATATATTTTCAGTACATCTTTGTTGGCCTTTTCCATCTTTTTCTATATTCTCACTTTGCTTCGTCAATTTGCATCGCTCGGTTCTTTAGCCGCCATGTTGCTGTCCAAACGCAGGCTCATAGACTGGAATTTTGTATATTCTGTAGTTTGATATTGACTCCCTGTCAATGAGGATTCAACCTTGGTTCTGCAGCTCGAGCCCAACCCTTTGGGCGCAGTGTTGCGCACACTTCGGACCCGGACCCGAGAGCTCAGAACTTCCCTGAGCTGTGTGGACCACGTCCTCCGCAGAAAAGCTTTGACAGAGACTAACAAATCCTGTATCTTTCACCGGGACTTTATATGCTTGGATTTCAGCATGAAGGATGGACCATTGAAGCAAGCCCTGAAGGACGGCACGGTGCAGTTCCATGAGCACCCGTACAAGCACTACACAGCTGCCGTGGATTTTGCCAAGCTGGAGCCATCCGAGCTGCAGCTGCACAGGATGCGCCTGTCAATGACTGAGTCGGGTGAAGCTGCAACCAAGGTCGGCTCCGTGGTGACTGAAGAGTCTGTGTGGTCATTCTATGTCCCCCTGCCTCACCAGTACCCTCCAGCAGAGGCAGATGCAGCGTCATGGGCGGATCCAGACTTTCACCAGACCTATTATCAAAAATTGTGGAACTTGACTACAAAGCAGGCAGCCATCCAGGCCGGGAAGCGATGGACAGGGCCATCTTTGGGCGTTCCAGCTTTTGAAGACCGCTTTGCAGCGGTGCTGATGGGTGCTTTGACATCTGAGACTTCCAACTGCAAGATCGTCCATTTCAAGTTGCAAGCTAGCGATGCGTCCGCCGGGATGGCCCACATGGATGCTGTAGCAGAACTTTGGTGGCCCAAGGACGTGAAATCTTTGCTGCACCGCATGGAGTGGTCCATCCAGAATTGCTCCCTCATTTTGATGCCCCTCCCAGGTTTGGTAAGTTTGTCTGACCACCAAGAGCTGAAGTCTGCAGCGTCTGCAAGCGACACTTCTGTCAAGAAGAGGCGCAGTGTTGTGCGGCACTTTCCGCATGGTTCTGTGATCGGTAGAACTTATTGTGAGCAGCGTCGCCAAAACTGAGTGAAAGCTTGATTGAAAATATGTTTAGTTCATGTTAGTTCATGTTTGTTCTACATTTGAGATCAGCTGGCAACACATGCCGGCGCGCCACAGCCGTGCTGCAGGCTTGAGGATGAAATCACCAGAGCCAACAAGAAAGCCCGGAGATTGGAGGGTCTTCTGAATGGCCTGACCTTTCCATGATTACGCCTGATGAAGCAGACGCAACCTGTGCGGAAGTGCTGGGAGGCCTTGGAGACGTGTGAGCAGTGGACCTTCAAGGGATAGCCAAATTCAGGTCAGATTTTTAGATCGAATCTCGATCAATGTTTTTGAGACCTGGAGGTTAGTGCGCAAAGTATGAACGCAGTAAAAAACGTTAAAAAACCCGCGTCTCTACGGGCGGCGTTAGCATAAAGGTTTAAGGGGTGAGGGTCCTTAAACTAGCAGCGCTTAGGGACACTGAAGCAGTCAGGATCCTGAAGCACGCAACGCTTAAGGGGTTAGGACAAACAAGCACGCAGCCCTTAAGGGGTGAGGGGCCTTAAGCACGCAGTGCTTAGGGACACTTGAGAACTCCATGCTTAAAGGGTCAGGATCCTTAAGCACGCAGCGCTTAAGGGGTCGGTATCCTTAAGCACGCAGCGGGTATGCTTCAAACCTTGTGGCTCCTGACCTGCTGCTTTGACCCCCCGGGGGGTCCAATAGCTTAAGCAGGGGTGCTTAAGGATCCTGACCCCTCAAGCGCTGCGTGCTAAGGCATCCTTGACCCCTGAGCGCTGCATGCTTAAGGATCCTGACCCCTTAAGCGCTGCGTGCTTAAGGATACCGACCCCTTAAGCGCTGCGTGCTTAAGGATCCTGACCCCTCGAGCGCTGCGTGCTTAAGGATACCGACCCCTTAAGCGCTGCGTGCTTAAGGATCCTGACCCCTTAAGCGCTGCGTGCTTAAGGATACCGACCCCTTAAGCGCTGCGTGCTTAAGGATACCGACCCCTTAAGCGCTGCGTGCTTAAGGATCCTGCGTGCTTAAGGATCCTGACCCCTCGAGCGCTGCGTGCTTAAGGATACCGACCCCTTAAGCGCTGCGTGCTTAAGGATACCAACCCCTTAAGCGCTGCGTGCTTAAGGATACCGACCCCTTAAGCGCTGCGTGCTTAAGGATACCGACCCCTTAAGCGCTGCGTGCTTAAGGATACCGACCCCTCGAGCGCTGCGTGCTTAAGGATCCTGACCCCTTAAGCGCTGCGTGCTTAAGGATCCTGACCCCTCGAGCGCTGCGTGCTTAAGGATACCGACCCCTTAAGCGCTGCGTGCTTAAGGATACCGACCCCTTAAGCGCTGCGTGCTTAAGGATCCTGACCCCTCGAGCGCTGCGTGCTTAAGGATACCGACCCCTTAAGCGCTGCGTGCTTAAGGATCCTGACCCCTCGAGCGCTGCGTGCTTAAGGATCCTGACCCCTCGAGCGCTGCGTGCTTAAGGATACCGACCCCTTGAGCGCTGCGTGCTTAAGGATCCTGACCCCTCGAGCGCTGCGTGCTTAAGGATACCGACCCCTTAAGCACTGCATGCTTAAGGACCCTGACCCCTTGAGCGCTGCATGCTTAAGGATACCGACCCCTTAAGCGCTGCGTGCTTAAGGATCCTGACCCCTCGAGCGCTGCGTGCTTAAGGATACCGACCCCTTAAGCGCTGCGTGCTCCTAAGTATCCGGAGGGCTAAAAGATCCTGACTTCTCAAGCGCTGCGCGTTTCAGGACTTACAATCTCAAAAAGTACGATAAATATATCAAGATATGTTTTGGGCTGCGTGCATCTGCCCTCCTACAGAACCGCAGGTTTGAAACGCTGAATGCTTAAGGAACAGGACGCCTGATTCCGCAGCCTGACTGTGCGACAAAAGATGCTGATTGCTTAGGCGATGAATGTTTACATATAATTAAGGATTCTTAAAACGCAGTAGATACATGTACATACAACATGAACAAACCATGCAAATGTAAATGAATATAAACGCATATAAACGCATATATGAATAGAGACGCGTCTACAAAAAATGCATATCGATCACAGACATGAAGCAGACTAGGCCGAAAGATTTGTGCATGTGTGTCCAGAAACACACAGAACCAGAACCGCCAGTCATGGAGGGGAAATCTCATGGCTTGCCAAAACTCCAAAAGGCACAGTTGAAGGCAAGAAGCTGAACACACGCGTGAATCTCCACAACCCGAAATTGAGGGAAAATGCTGGAGCCAAAAAAAAGTCTCGACTGAAAACAGCTTCGCTGTACGAACCAGTCTCCACACTGGTTTTGCAATTACGATGTCTTCTTTGGCACTGCGCAATACCATGCAATGTCTCTTTTCACGTTAAGATTTCCTGCCGTTTCCCATACCGTCTCGCAAAGGGGTATGCGTTCAAACTTGGGCGACTTTTCTCATGAGTTCCAGGAAGGGTATGAAGAACAAAAAGTCGCCTCGGAAGCCAAAGTATAGTGGCCTTCAACCTCCTTCGGAAGATCCACCTGGCCCGAAGCTCAAGTTGAAAAGGTGGTCAAACATGAAGACGCACAAGCCAACTCTGCCAAGTGCCTCGGAGACAACATGGCAAAATGAAAGATTGAAAAGCAGCAGCAACAACATGATAATGTGACACCCTGTGTGGTGCCTCGCACAAAGTACACCTGTGTAACACTTTCAGGAATGGGCAAACATGTTGCCCAGAGATGCACAAGCCCACCTGGGAAGTGCGGCAAGTTGCTCTTAGCTTTCTTCAGGAAAACACACCTGGCCAAAACTTAAATTTGATGCGTCAATGAAAAGGCAAAGACGGTGTCCCCATATGCACATGCAGATGTGAAAACGAAGTGCAAAGATTGACTATGTATGAATACGTTCGACTGCATCCGATGGTGAAAAGACCCTAGCCACTTTTATTTCATGACTTGCACTTGCGCCATATCAAAACAAACCAAAGAAGGCCAAGCGTGTCTAGCAGTGATGCGTTCAAACTTGGGCGACTTTTCTCATGAGTTCCAGGAAGGGCATGAAGAACAAAAAGTCGCCTCGGAAGCCAGAGTATGGTGGCCTTCAACCTCCTTCGGAAGATCCACCTGGCCCGAAGCTCAAGTTGAAAAGCTGGTCAAACATGAAGACGCACAAACCAACTCTGCCAAGTGCCTCGGAGACAACATGGCAAAATGAAAGATTGAAAAGCAGCAGCAACAACATGATAATGTGACACCCTGTGTGGTGCCTCGCACAAAGTACACCTGTGTAACGCTTTCAGGAATGGGCAAGCATGTTGCCCAGAGATGCACAAGCCCACCTGGGAAGTGCGGCAAGTTGCTCTTAGCTTTCTTCAGGAAAACACACCTGGCCAAAACTTAAATTTGATGCGTCAATGAAAAGGCAAAGACGGTGTCCCCATATGCACATGCAGATGTGAAAACGAAGTGCAAAGATTGACTATATATGAATACGTTCGACTGCATCCGATGGTGAAAAGACCCTAGCCACTTTTATTTCATGACTTGCACTTGCGCCATATCAAAACAAACCAAAGAAGGCCAAGCGTGTCTAGCAGTGATGCGTTCAAACTTGGGCGACTTTTCTCATGAGTTCCAGGAAGGGTATGAAGAACAAAAAGTCGCCTGGGAAGCCAGAGTATGGTGGCCTTCAACCTCGTTCGGAAGACGCACCTGGCCCGAAGCTCAAGTTGAAAAGCTGGTCAAACATGAAGACGCACAAACCAACTCTGCCAAGTGCCTCGGAGACAACATGGCAAAATGAAAGATTGAAAAGCAGCAGCAACAACATGATAATGTGACACCCTGTGTGGTGCCTCGCACAAAGTACACCTGTGTAACACTGTCAGGAATGGGCAAGCATGTTGCCCAGAGATGCACAAGCCCACCTGGGAAGTGCGGCAAGTTGCTCTTAGCTTTCTTCAGGAAAACGCACCTGGCCAAAACTTAAATTTGATGCATCAATGAAAAGGCAAAGACGGTGTCCCCATACGCACATGCAGATGTGAAAACGAAGTGCAAAGATTGACTATATATATGAATACGTTCGACTGCATCCGATGGTGAAAAGACCCTAGCCACTTTTATTTCATGACTTGCACTTGCGCCATATCAAAACAAACCAAAGAAGGCCAAGCGTGTCTAGCAGTGATGCGTTCAAACTTGGGCGACTTTTCTCATGAGTTCCAGGAAGGGTATGAAGAACAAAAAGTCGCCTCGGAAGCCAGAGTATGGTGGCCTTCAACCTCGTTCGGAAGACGCACCTGGCCCGAAGCTCAAGTTGAAAAGCTGGTCAAACATGAAGACGCACAAACCAACTCTGCCAAGTGCCTCGGAGACAACATGGCAAAATGAAAGATTGAAAAGCAGCAGCAACAACATGATAATGTGACACCCTGTGTGGTGCCTCGCACAAAGTACACCTGTGTAAGACTTTCAGGAATGGGCAAGCATGTTGCCCAGAGATGCACAAGCCCACCTGGAAAGTGCCGGAAGTCGCTCTTAGCTTTCTTCAGGATAACACGCCTGGCAACAAGCTACGTTTGACGTGTCAAACGAAAATGCAAAAACAGCAACCTCATGCACACACGCAGATATGAAAACGGAGTGAAGAGATTGACAACATGTGAATACGTATGAACACAACTGAATATAGATGAACGTATATGAACTCATTGAACTGCATCCGATGGTATAAACATGCGGAAACACTTGCAATTAAAAGCAAACAAAGACCCAACCACTTTTATTTCATGAATTGCACTTGCTGTGTGAGAACAAGCATGAACAAACCAAAGGTACATGTTTGATGCCGACCATTCCCATTCTGGGATGCTGTGTGTTTTCATACAACCCTCAAGAAGTTCCAGAACAAACAAAAAACAACATCTCAAATGTTCTGCAAAATTATCACATCAAAGCAGAAGCTGCGGGGATGTTTTCACCATGTTTTCACCATATTTTTGAAAACAAAAACATACATATACACAGAGAGCGTGTTTTTTGCATGGGTTTTGACCACATCAGACCACATCCTAAAAGTTTTCAAAGTCTTCCCCATTTAGAAGCCTTATAAGTCCCATTTCAAAGTCGTTTTGTATAAGTCATCCTGATAGTTTTAGCCCACGCCTAAACAACTGACACCTACAAACACCGACGGCACCTCCTCCCATTTC